TCACTTCTACATGAGATGTGAATATAAGAATGTATATAGAAGAGCATATATAAAGGGATAAATACACTCAGGGATACCCTTGAAACCTGTCTTTCTGTCTTGTTGCCATCCCATCTTAGATCCTGTCCCTCTTCTCAGCTCCAACCCCTATGCAGCTCTGCATCCTCTGCTGCTCAGCAATTTCTGATGTTTAGCTGTGGGGGATCTTGGGAAGTCCGTAACCTCATATGCCTGCACTGCTCAGCAGGAAATAATTATGCAGTGAGTGAAGAGTGGCATGGTTAGAGTTCAGCTCACGACAGTTAGAAAACTCTCTTCCTCCATCAGCAGCTTGCTGTGTTTTCACACTGAGCACAGAGAGAACTCCCTTTCAGTGGTGATCAAGGCAGAATTATCCTGAATTTGTGTGAACTGGAGGTAAAAAGTGTGTAAATGTGTTGATTTCTGTGGATGTATGAGTGTGGATCTGTGTGGCTTTGGCTCTACACTCCAATGGAAGGTTATCCATGAAGGAATGCAGTCTTTTGATTGAAAACAGTCAAAACCTCTGGGCTTGTGTGTGTGTGTGTGTGTGTGTGTGTGTCTGTCTGTCTGTCTGTCTGTAACAGGCATATATGCTCAAGTTTCCAAGAATCAGCAAAGGTTACCTGCTTTAAACATGGAAAGACTCAAGGTACAAGACTATAAGAAAGAAGACTGTCTGCTTTGTATAGATAAAGGAATTGGTTTAGTTATTGATACTGAAGAAATGGGGAAACACCATTTTTTGCACCACTTAGAAAATGCACTTTCTGTGCCATTTAGTAATGCCTAACTACTAGTTTTTAAAATTGCCTGAAGTAACCCAATTGTACAGGTATTAAAACAGATACCATTCGTGGAAGTGAGAATGTAAAGAAAAGCCCATATATTGAAGTAATTAACGTATTTTTAGAACATTATCACACAAAACCTAGTGATTTTCTTGTAGCTCATCAATGAAACTGAGTTGGAAGATTCAGAACAGACAAAAGGAAGTACTTCACAGCACACAAAAGCCATTGATGGCCACCAACCTGGATGGTTTTAAAAGCGGATAAAAAATGTTAATGGATATGGCTATCTGTGACCATTAACCCTAATTAATGTATGTATGCTACCTGCAGTTGGAGGCAGTAATGCTGGAAAATGCAGGACGGGACTGCTGCTGTGCTTGTGGGCTTCCCATAGACATCTGGTTGGCCACTTTGAGTACAGAATGCTTGGACCATATGGGTGACAGGCTTGATCCAGCATGCTCTTCTTGTGTTCTCCTTTTTCTGCCAACTGCTATTCTCTTAAACACCAGCATTTTCCTCTCATCAGTGACACATCACAGCTATCATTAGAATGTGCTAGCATTTTTAATTTTGGAAATGTCAACCCCGCTTCCTTAGTTTTTTGTTTTTACTACAAAATGTGCTTTTTTAGCATTCTGCAAGCTTTATTATTCCAAATGCAACAACTTTTCACAGACCACCTATGCTTTTTGTCAAAACTTTTTACCATATTAAATGACAGAAATACAGGTAAGATGTTAATTTTACTACAAAATTTCCCTATTCAGAATTATCATTATAAGTAACTTGTAACTTTTGTGCATTTAACTTGTGTGCATTCAGCTTTCCATGCTTGGTAAAAAGATTTTTTTTAAATTAAAAAGGGGGCAGCCATTCAGGGAAAAAAGCTTTGGCAATCCCATCCACAACTGAACCCAAAATGTTTTGAGTATATGCAATTTGGCTTGGAATGTAACCCCCGTGTAAATCAACAGTCACCTGTAATTTGGCCCATTCATTCAATTAGTGGCAAAAGAGGTTGATGACACACCACTTTAAATTGTAAATGGCTGAGATCCTGGCCTGTCATGCTTCACTTCCATCTCAAAGCAGCCCTATGGGAAAACTGCTGATGAGGACCTATGGGTTACAAAATATTAAACAAACTGCAGAGGTAACCAGTGAGCTTCCAGCTTCAATTCAATATGCTGACACAATCACAGCTTGCTTTGTGGAGTAACTATCCCCATGAATCCCTATGTTGGCTGTAATCATTAGATCAAGCCTTACTCATATTCCCACTACAGCAAGTGAAACAATCGGCAACAAGGAGGAGTTTCTCTGCAACCACCCAAAAGATTGGAAGAAATCCCAAAGATAGATCAAAACTATGTGCTGGCATACTGAACATGCTTTATTATTTTATTTAAAATATGTAGTGCACCTTTTCCCAAGGTGCCTTGCAATCAAAGTAAAGTCAAACACAATGCTTATCTATGGGTTGGCAGCTAAGATTAATATGATGACCTGGGGGTTTAAGATTTTATTGGTAGGCTGTGGAAATTTTCCATGAAGCCTACCAAATCTGAATTGTTGTTATACTTCTATATTATGTTGCTTTAGATGTTTTTATTCTTATGCAAAATGCTTTCATATAAGAAAAATAGGTATACAATTGTGTTAAATAAATATATTCTGCAATAAGAAAAATTTAGCTGAGGATTTCCTATTGATGGGAATTTAAAAGCTCCTTGAATCACTTGGGTCATTTCCCAGAACTGACTAATAAAAGCTGTTGGCTGAAAATTTATGATGGAGCGCAGTATCTTTACACTCGCATTTCCTGTAGTCATTATTTCAGAAGTCACCAGTCTAACGGGAAACATGGTACTCTTTAAGGCAGAAGCCATCAGTTATATTACTTATGGGATAACCATAGCATTATTTTAAACAAAGGCAGTGTTGAAGCCATTAACTGAAAAGTTGTGTTCTCTTTTCCCCATAGCTCATGACTTGGTTCACTTCTGCCACTTGCAGTGCTTTTCTAATCTTTGGCTGTAGGTTTGGCTAATGCGGGTGAATCTTTTGCATGATAAGGTATGAGACTAACAGAACAATTGAAACTCTCAGTCCACTGTGGTTCACCATCTTCCACCTCCACCCCACTGCTGGCAGAGAAGTCACCCTGTTGAGAAGTGTTCCAATGTCCCTGCCCCCCAAAAAACAATATGCATAAGCTATCACCCACAACCAAGGGTGCCAACTTGAATAAAATATGGGGGGGCAGGTAAGCCCCACCCCACATAACTGATCCCAAGACATTGCGAACACACACCATTTGAATGGCAATGGCTATCAACTTGGGGGGCTAGCCCCCTCAAATATTTTGTTGGGGGAAGTGTCAAAGGGACCTCAGCCCCTAGGAGTTGGCTCCTATGTCCACGCCAGCAGAAAACCATGAAATGTGAGGGCAATGGGCCAGATGCAGACCTCTTCGCTGCATCAGTCTGGGAGTGACAAAAACCACTCATACATCAACTCATCTCAGACTCATTGCCGAGCATGCTCAGATAACATATCCGGTATTCTGTCTAACCACTGCTAAATGGAGTTAAACAAGGTAAAGGTAAAGGGACCCCTGACCATTAGGTCCAGTAGTGACCGACTCTGGGGTTGCAGTGCTCATCTCACTTTATTGGCCAAGGGAGCCGGCGTACAGCTTCCGGGTCGTGGCCAGCATGACTATGCCACTTCTGGTGAACCAGAGCAGCGCACGGAAACGCCGGAGTTAAACAAACCAAGTAATAATATACTACCATAAACTTAAGTGGTAGGAATACTACAGACTAGCTATGAGAATAATCAAGATTACATAATTCCCTCTTGGGAGGCTTCAGCTAAATGCATAGTTGTTGGCATCTGTCTGTCTGGAGAGACAATGGAGTGTGCCTCCAGGGGTGAAGTCAAACCACTGCATTATGCATGAATAAATAGCTGAGATAATTTCATAATGGTTGCAACCATATATAAGTCTGGACTTTCTCCCTACCACAAACCTACTTTTAAATTAGAGAGTTATATTCCTTATAGATCTGTGTTTTTAACATTGATTTGTTTGGTTGAGTTGCATATATTTGTTAATCATTGTTGCAAACTTCGCTAGAGGGGAGGAACTTTAATTATAATTATGCTTAATTGTTTTTTAAATGATTTCCCTCCCCCAATGTTTTTAACTGTTCCTATTTTATCTGCAAGCCGCTTTGAGTCCTTGTCAGGGGGGGAATTAGATATAAAAATATATATTGCACTGACTTGCAGAGCAGGGTTACCTCTTAAGCCCCCTACCCTACAAACTCGCGGCGGAGCCGAATATTAATCGACCCCACCCTCAAAGAGGCCACATTTCCCGGAGCCCCGTGAGACGATTTTCCTCTCGGAAACACCAACGAAGGTTCGCCCTGATCAACGCGGCTTTACCATTTCGGGCGTCTGAGACAGAAAGAAGGCACGAGAGAGAGCCTCTTACGGGGGGCCGGGAAGGGCAAAGGCGCGCATTGAAGGAGTCGGGGAGACCTAACACCCCCCCTTTTGTGTCAACTTGGTGACTTCCGCTCTCCATTTACCTGCACGTAAACGGCGGGCAACGGCAGCCACCGCAGAACCTCCACCCAGCACCAAATCTTCAGTCAGGGGCGCCGCTACGGCAAGCGAACGAAGGCAAAATTCCCGCCCGCGGCGGGCGCGCTTGCGCAATACCTCGCCCTAAGCCCGTGGGAGGAGCCTCTACGTAGCGCGCCCGCGCGAGTCAGAATTGGAGCGGCCCCGCCAGCGGTGTGTGGCGGCAGCGAGGAGGGGGGACAGGGGGGCAGACCAGGAATCTGGGACGTGTCTGGGAAGAGGCGGCGTGGATTGGCGAGGGGAGGCGGGAACGATATTCGGCAGGCGAACGCCTATTGGCCAGGAGGCGGGACCGCCGCGCGACTAACGCGATTGGCTTCCGAAGGGCTGGCAGGGAGGTGGGCGGGGACACGAAGCGCTACGGAGAGCGGAGGGGCCAAGAAGAGGGTCGTGAGCGGGTGAGCTTGTGGTGGTTGGCGGGCGGAGGGAAGGGGGGCGAGTGGGAAGGCTTGTAAGCGGAGCATGCTGGGTGTAGTACGAGTGAATCGATCGATCCCATCGATGGTCGCGTGAGGCGGGCGGGGCGGGCGTGTGAGGGAAGAAGAGGTCTTAAGCGTGTCGCGCGCGCCGGCGAAGAGCGAGGGGAGGCAGGGCTCGCGCCAGGGGAGAGGCGGGGCTTGGTGTTCGCCTCGCGCCGGGGGCGCGGGCGGGGAGCTGCTCGCTCGGGTGAGGAGGAGCCGGAGCGCCAGCCGTGAGGGGAGCAGCGGGCGGAGGAAGACCAGCCTGCTCGGTGCCGCCGCCGCCGCCGCCACCGCAGCTGACAGACAGTGGCAGGGACGCTCAGCCGACCCGGAGGCAGGTCAGAGAACTGGGCCTGTGCGCGGCGTGTGGGGTGAAGCCGACGGTGGTCGAGATGAGGGTCTCGACGAGGGTTTGAGTCGCTGAGGGAAGGGGGGAAGGTCGGGTGGGGCCTGCCCGCCTGCCTCTGCCGGGCGTGTGGTCATAGTTGGCACCCCTTGACCCGGGGCCTATCAGCTGCTCCACGGAAGCGGGAGGGAGAGGCCCGTCCCCTCCACACGAGCCGGGCATCCACGTTCCGGGAAAGGTGCTCCGTCCAGGATGCCTCCTCTTCCCCGCCCCCCACCCTAAACTGGCTCTGCCGAGGCTCCCTGCCTTGCTCAGAACCGTGGCCTCTCCCTCGAGCCCACCCCGTTAGCAGGAGGCGGCGGCGGGGAGGTGGACGAGCCCCACCTGTCAGCCTCGTCGGCAACAGCCAGTGAAATAATTTTTTTCTTTTGTTAGGGGGAGGATAGCAAGACGGATTTGCGGACATGGGCGCACCTATTGTTGCGGCTTCTCGCCCGGCGCTGCAGCCCTTTTGCACATCCTGACAGCTGATGCTACTCTTCGATAGGTGGCTTGATAAATGCACAGTGGATCATGTAGTCTCGTAGCCGACTCTCTTATTCACTGCCTCATGTTAGCAACTGTTAACCTTGGGGTGGATGCGATCATCATCTTTTTCTGTGGCTTGGCAGTCCATTAGTGTAACAAGGTGCTCTTTGAGCGGGCTGATGGTTCAAAGCATTGCAAGAATGACAAGCAAGCAGCCTTCTTGAGGAATTTGGCATGCAATGCATCTAGGTACAGGACCTGAAAACCCAAAATCTCTGGTATGGTGGCAAATTTATCCTTTACTGGAACGGTGTACTAATAAAATATTTTCTGGAGCCTGTGCATAAGATGAGCAAGAGTTTTAAACAGTAGCTTATCTTTCATAATTCCATTTTGTCTTTAACTCTGATTGGATTGTGAAACTGCCTTGTTCTGGTAATTCCATCAAATATAATGGGATGGGGCTCATGCTGTGGAGGTAGCAGAAATAGATGGCATTTCCTTGCAGGGGTTGGGATTGGTGAGCCCTAGTATAGCATCTTCAGTTTTGTTTTTAAAATTCTCAGATGGGTTGGGAAAGATCTGTTTTGAAGTATATGAGTTGTTGCCATTGGAAATAGATTGGCTAGATGAATTATTAACCTACCTCAGTATGTGGCAGTTTTACATATTTAGAAATATTCACCCTTAGTTAGGAAAGTGTATAGTCTGCAGGGTTTGTCTTAATCATCATATAATACAGTTTAAGAAGTATTGCCTAGAATTTGGCATAACTTGTCACTTGAGATCATTTTTGTGCTGTACATGAACTGCTTCTGAGTATTTTAAATGGGCCATTTTAAAATGAAGCAGAATTACAGTCAGTGCAATCTCAAAAGAAATTTCAACACTTTGATTTTGCACAATCTGAGTTAGATGTTGTCAATATAGCATTTTTCTCTGGTATAACTTAACTATTTAGAATAGTTTTTAGGAAAAAAATAGTGTGTTTCCTTTGTCAAACAACATTTTGATATTTTATTGATTTATTAATGGTTTGCTGAACAAAAAAAAAGACTTTTGTATAGCACATAACTTATTTAAATTTCAAAATGTTTTAGCTGTTGGTTTGATATGATTCCCGCCCGCCCCCCGATTTTGAGTGATGAAGCCATAAATATTTTTACAACAAATCCATTTTTCTGTAAAGTTGTATTGATTGTATCTTGCAGAGAACATAAGAACATTACTAGTTTTGATTATTCATGATAGAAGACACTGTGGTGCCTAAACATTTCTAGAGGCTGAAGTCTAGAGTGCAAAACATATTAGAGGTGTTAATTTTTTAAAATTAAACATCCAATAAAATAATAATAGCATGGTGTTAAAAAGTCATCTACAGCAACAAACACATTTAATTTTTTTAAAAAAGATAATAAATGGGCAAAACTGTTATATTCTGGACTTTGGGAGCCAGAGAAACCCATGTACAGAGTTCTGTCAGTACAGGGAGGGGTGGCTTATTTTCCCCCTCTTATGTCATAATGTCATTGGTGTTCCTCATCCTAAATGTGATTTTTGGTATATTAGTATTATACTGTTCATTCTGCTTGTATCTGCTAGGAATTGATAAAGGTACATGCACTGATAGCCTCTCCTGTACTGGTTTTGGTATTTTGTTATTTTTGTCTGGTTATTGCTTTGCAGGGATGTGCTTTGCTTTTAGGCATGTTCATCCATTACACAACACAGACTTGACTTCTCCACCCACAGCAATCCATTTTTTAAATAGTGAGTAAGAAGCAAGAATGCCTCTGGAAAGAAGAATCAAGTGACAGGTCTAGTTTGAATACGCCTTGCCTGATTGTGTTTAAGAACAAGCTGACAGTGGCATAATTAAGATGGTATTTTTGTGCACATCCTGAGAGCAAGCAAATACCAGTTTCAGGAGTTAGGAAAGTCAGAATCCATTTTCCAAGCATCATTAACTGCCCTAAGTTCATGTACCTAACATCTGATGGATAGTATAAGTCAACCTTCACCAGCTGGGCTGGCTGGGGCCAACCAGAGTTGTCGAAAACATCTGGAGGGCATCACATTGGCAAAGGCTGATTTAAGGCAGGCATGTTATCCAGAGCTGAAGGAAATGTGTACCTAGCTCCACTCCAGGAGGTGCACAGAACGTTTGAATAATGAGCACAAGACTGATAGTATTTTGTGATGCGCTTTGAGGGAATGAGGATTTAATCCTTGCACAAACTCTGTAACTTAGGCCAGTGCTATCCACAATTGATCCTCATGTATAATCCAAAACTGTTGGGTGTGCAATGGGGCTAGGCCTCTCTAAATAGGATGGTAGCTTAGTGGTAGAGCACCTGGTTTTCATGTAGAGTGGTGCTCCAGGTTCAGTCCACAGCAGCACCCATCAATATCACCATCTGAAATCCTAGGGGGCCACTGCTAGTCCATGTAGACAATACTGATCTAGATAGATCAGCTGTATAAGGAAGCTTTGTCTGTTTCCTGTAGTTTGCATCTGATATGATCTTTTGACTGGAGACTGCTCCTCTACCAGCTCTGATTCTAATGATTTGATTTTGTTTCCTTAAAAAACTTATCCCAGTTGCATAGCATAAATCAGTGAAGTGTGTGTGAAGGAGTGGGAAATCTGGGGAGAGTTGAAGAAAATCATACTGCTTGCAAGTAAGGTAAAGGGACCCCTGACCATTAGGTCCAGTCGTGGCCAACTCTGGGGTTGCGGTGCTCATCTCGCTTTATTGGCCAGCATGACTAAGCTGCTTCTGGCGAATGCACGGAAACGCTGTTTACCTTCCCACCAGAGCGGTACCTATTTATCTACTTGCACTTTGACGTGCTTTCGAACTGCTTGCAAGTAGTGTGGCTTTTAAAAGTGGGAATTCTGCATGCATTTGAATGGAGCATTGAAAGAAGCTACTGCATGATGCCCACAGCAACTGCTCCAGGTTTAAAAGCATATAATGGCGTAACCAGTGTGGTGTCCTCTAGTTGTTGGACTACAATACCCATTCATTCCTGATCATTGACCATGTTGCTTGGGGCTGATGGGGGTTGTAGTCTGACAATATCTGGAGGGCACCATGTTGGCTACTCCCGTATATTTTGGAAAATGCTGATAGGGTCACTAGCATTTTGTTGTTGTTGTTGTTGTTCTTGCCCGTTTGCCCACAAGTCTCTTTCTAAAGATTAAAAGTTCTCAGCCATAACAGTCCTTGAATATCTTTTCTACCTATAAGTAGTAAATACAGTAAGTATTTGGTAAAGGTTTAGAAGGAAGTCAAGTGAGATAGCTTCTGATTTCTTCTCATGAGGGAAAATAGAAAGCTTTGTGGGATGTTTTAATCTGATAATTTATTGAAGGTCAAGCTATTTTGCAGGAAAAAATGAGCTAAGCTTTGAGGAAAAATGGCTCTGTAGGTCTTACAGCAGGGTGCTGATTTCTTTCAGCCGAAAGGCCTTGTGTCAGGGGTAACAAGCAAGAGGTATTATGCTAGTTTCAGGTCACATTTCTAGTACTCTAAAGGAGGGCAAAGAACAAGCCATAGTGGACATGTGAGTTCTGAGGACCAGAGAGGCCTGGAGGTATATATTTGGTCCCTATCATTGTCTTACAGTGGTAAGTTTATGTGTAGAACCTCTATCAGCACACAGGCAGTTGCCAATCCATCTGTTTCCTCATATCAACCGTTGAAGAGTACTGTATATCATGTGAATCTGCTTTCTCTCGGAAACTACAAGGGTGGTGTTTGTTTTGTTTTTTTAATGTTGCGACACCGTCTATAGTTCTGACATTCAGAGTTGTTTTCTATGGTCTTTGGATACTGGGATTTGGAAGGACAGTTTAAAGGACCTGTTACCAATTTAAATAAGTGGTGTGCATTGCGAAGGTCACACTTGCATTTCTGTGCAGGAACTGTATCCTCTCACTTCCTAACACCTGCCAGGGTTGGCAGTTCCATGTCTGACTGTAGTTCCATGTTTTTCTTCTCTGTCTTTAAATATATTGTTAGGAGGGCAGAGATTCTTGTGTGTCAGCTAGATTTTGTAGCAGCCTTGTAACTTCCAAACACTATGTATACGTACTTGGTAGAGTAGGGAGACCTGGAATGATGAGAACCACAGTGTAGCAACTCCATAAATGTTGTTGCAACATATATCCACGGGAAGAATTTTAAAACAACAACAATAAAAAAACCTTCTTTAATTTGGTTTAAGTTAGTATGACCTCTTTTTTTGTTTTATGGCAGTTGAAATATATAGCTGTGGTGACAAAGGTAAAAGTGATGTGGCTCAGTGGGGCTTAAGTCATGACTAGCTTGTCCCATTGATTTCAGTAACACTAACTTAGACCCCATTCTTCTACACACTTATCTGGATGGAACTCAATGGGATATTGGGACTTCATTCTGATCAGGCAGATAAAGAATTGCAATGGCAGTCTAAATCTGACCCAAAAGAGTTCCCAGTTTGGCTTGTGAGGCTGTTTCCCCCAAATCACATGTACCTCCTTTCATCTGTGATGTCCAGTAAGAAATGTGTGGAGGTGTGGCTGCCAGTGTGTGACTGGAAACCTTAAAGTGTGCTTCGAATTGTGACATTGCTGATTTGCAGTGAGAGCAAGCCAGCTAGGTCAGTTGCACTGAGTTCCCCATGAGGAACTCAGAAGTGTAGCCAGCCCCTGCAGATTATTGGAGCTTGAACTGAGCGCATTCCAGCCTACCTGTCACAGATGTTTGGCAGCGATGGGGACTGATTAAGATCTGGCCTGTTGAGCCAAAAGGGTTCCCCACCTCTCCCTGGTCTATATCCTTGCTGTGTAGTTTTTGGTGGGGTTTTTTGGGGGGGTTTTATAAAGAAAAGATTTGGAATTGTATTGCCTATTGTAATGGGTCAGTTTTACTGAATTGGGCCAATTCATTTAAGCAGCCATCAAAATTTCATCCCTATTATATTACAAATCTGATGGGAGGACCTAAATGGTTGTCCCAGATTTTTTCCTCCCCCCCCCTTTTTTTTTTTGCTACGGAATAATTTTTCATTCTCTCATGTAATTATATATTTAGTGATCCCACCCAACCCCCATTTTATCGTGGCAGATGGTATGGCACCCACCACTCGTTTTGTTGCTTCTGTCAGGATGTGATTCATTATTATTTTTTTGCCACTGATTTTAAAAATAGGATAGATTATGGAAATACTGAATTTCCTTTTTAAATTCCTTGAAACAGTAGGAGCCTATGTGGCTTTTTGGGGTCTCCTGCTCTTTCCCCACATGCTTTCCCCCTCCTCACATCCTTGGTATAAAGCATGCACAACTCGAGTTTTACCACACAAAATCTGGGGAAGTATGGTGAACTTCCAGAGGAAGTTGGTGATGTTCTCAATTTTAGTGGAACACTGTGATACTGATAAATTTTTACTACTATTCTGAATACCTGGTAGTTTTCTTATTAATTGGTTTAACAGTCAGTTGTCAGTCTGTCTGTACCTGGAGACAATGCAATCAGTGTCATTCCTTTCTTCCCAGTCAACAGATGTTCTGACCTTGTGATGAACTCTTCCACACTTTTTCAGCCATCTTTCAACAAATGTCAGACATAATTCTTCACAGAAAAATAACTGATTTTGATGGTGGAAAGGGTCAGTATAGAGACCCTTGTCATCCAATTCTAGCATGCCACTCATCCATATCTTGTCTGCCAAAATCCATTTACCAACATAATTGTCCCTTTGCAGTCAGAGCATACCCTGTGACTCCTAGCTCTTTCTAAGCTAAACCACTTTCCCATGTCCTATTTTTGGGATAGGGAGATCTCCAACCTATGAGCTGAATCAGGCCTACCAGCCCTCTCCATTTGGTTTGTGAGGTGTTTTAGGTGAGGCCACCCCATCAGGTGTCAGGCAGGTAAAGACATGGCTGGGCTGAAGTGAATTTTCAGTCACTACTGGTTAACTCATCAGGGGCACCAGCACAACACATTGGAAGCCCAAACAATCAGGGATTGCATAGCTCAGTGTGACCCATAGTTATCAAACCTAATTCACTGGGGGTTGCCCTACCTGCACTCCCAAACCCCCCCCTTGCATCCCAAACTTATTTCCCCTACATCCTGCCTGCCTAAATGTCTGTCACCCATGTCTGCTTCTTAAGCAACCATCACCCATTCCACACCCTTCTCTGCCTGTCAGACAGACTGCACACCCCACACCTTTTTACCCTGGCTGCTAATTTAAGGGAGAGGCTAATGTCAAAGAATGCACTTGCAACTCTTGGTAGGTCAGCCCTTTTCCCTTTTAAGAGCATTGCTTCCTTGCCTTGATGGTGTTGTAATGACCAGTGTGGGAGGTGTGACTGCATTGGGAACCCCAGGGAATCTACTAAGATTCTGGGCATTATGTTTTATAGACCTGCTGAAGAGTAAGTCCATCCCACTTGTTATATTAAACACTAGATTTCCCTTCAACTAGCAGGGATAATGTTAACCTTTTTGCCTGTGACTGTTCATGGGCTCCTTTAGGCAGGAGGGCAGGTTATAAATTTAATTGATAAATAAAAACTGTAGTAAGGAAAGGGCATAGTTGGTATAACAATAAGCATTCTTTGCCACCAGAAGAATCTAGGAGTACCTCCAAACTATGCACCTGTTTTTTTGAAGAAACAGGTGCAGTTCTGTCCAGAACTGGTGAACTAGCAGACCTGGGAGCTGCTCACCCATCGATTCTCTCCTTCACCAGGATTCAGTCTGTTTGTTGGTCCTCATCCAGCTCACCATTGCATTCAGGTCACAATCTCTCCTGAGGCATGACATGGTGTCCCAATTCTCCTAATGACCACTCCTGGAAGTTTCATATAGATATTAAAGAGCACTTGGGATAAGATGGTGCCCTGTAGCATTCCACCACACAACTGCAAAGGGGCAAACACATAATTTGAGGCCTGAACATATTGTTGAGCATGAACAGAAAGGGCAGTCAGAAGTACCGGAGAGGCATTTTTCCATTTGCATGTTTGAATCTTCACAGAAAATAAGGAACCAACACTTGTTGGAGAATGGAAACTGAATATCTTTCTTTTTCTTACAGATGATGATCAGCTCCAAGAAACTATGTCTTCAGAAATGAAAGCTTGTACCTACTATAAACAGTGATCGGCCTTAAGTAGACTAGAAACTATAGTCAAGAAACTTCAGAGGAACTCGTCCTTACCTGGTTACCTTGTATCATAAATTCAATCATGTATGGAAGTGCTCGGTCAGTTGGTAAAATTGAGCCAAGTAGCCAGAGTCCTGGGCGTTCACCAAGGCTGCCACGATCGCCACGGCTGGGCCATCGCCGAACCAACAGCACAGGTGGCAGTTCTGGAAGTAGTACTGGGGGTGGCAGTGGCAAAACTCTTTCTATGGAAAATATCCAATCCTTAAATGCTGCCTATGCCACTTCGGGCCCTATGTACCTAAGTGACCATGAGAACGTGGGTGCAGACACGCCTAAAAGCACCATGACTCTTGGACGATCTGGGGGGCGTCTGCCTTACGGTGTTAGGATGACTGCTATGGGCAGCAGCCCCAACATTGCCAGTAGTGGGGTTGCCAGTGATACTATAGCATTTGGAGAGCATCATCTTCCTCCTGTCAGCATGGCATCCACAGTGCCTCATTCACTGCGCCAGGCGAGGGACAACACTATAATGGACCTGCAGACGCAGCTCAAGGAAGTGTTGCGGGAAAATGATCTACTACGCAAGGATGTAGAGGTGAAAGAAAGTAAACTTAGCTCCTCCATGAACAGTATCAAGACGTTCTGGAGTCCTGAACTCAAGAAGGAAAGAGCCCTGAGGAAAGATGAGGCATCCAAAATAACTATTTGGAAAGAACAGTATCGAGTTGTACAGGAAGAAAACCAGGTTAGTAATCTAAAGAGAATTCTGCAAGGGGAGGGTAGATACAGTTGTTTTAATGAATGTGTTTCAGAGAATTTCCCTCGGCAGTCTTGAACTTGAGACAAAATACTCTATTGATCTATAGTCAGTATATTCAGTTTCAAGTAGCACCATGCAACATGGAAAAGCGATTTTCCTGTTTCAGATTTTGTATCCACGTTGCAGCTATGTTGCTTTAGGTAATGGCATAAGACAGGCATGTCCAAAGTCCGTCTTGGGGGCCTAATCAACAACTTTGGGGTAAAATCATAAAAAACCTCAGCAACTTCAGTCCTAAAAAAAGCTCAAAAACCGTGGTTGGCCCTTTGGTTGGCCCTCATCTGGCTTTCTCTGAAAAAAGTTTGGACACTGCTGGCATAAGAGAACAGTGAAGCGGGGGGAGAGCATCCAGTCCTTTCCCATCAGTTCACTATTCCAGCCCAATCCAGTATAATTCTAGAATTCTTTGTGAGTGTTCTCTGTAAGGAAGTGAGCAGAAGATTTATATCTTTGTAACGTGGAAATTGTTGGCTGTGTTGGCTACTAGGAATAGTTAGACACTTACTCAGCAAATATTCCTGGAAGTTTGTCAAACTCTTGTGTGACATATGGCTGAATATTTAGACTCTAGATTTTAAGGCTTATAAAATTATAAACAGTATGGAAAAACTGAAGAGAAACTATTCCCTTTCTCGCTGCATTTCAATTTGGTTAAATCCACTTGAATCCAGTGGCAGTAGATCCAACACATATCTAATGAAGTATTTCTTCATAATACACAATTTGGTTATAAAATTTGTTGCCGCAGGGTATATTTTTTAATATTAAGATGTACGTCTTGCAAATACTCCTTGCATGTTGTTAAGATGTGTAGGGGACAGTTGATGAAAGACTTCCTTTGAAAGATAGTCGGAGTTTCTTTTGACAAGGTCAAGCTCTTAAAATATTTTCAGAATAAAGCCTAGATTCACATTCAGTTGAATATATTTGTTTATGTAACCAAAGCAATTACCTTTCAAGTATCCTTCATGCACACAGGCTGGAAATACTCTTGGTGGTTTTCTACCAGGTGTAGATTGGAAATTTCTCCCTACTCTCACCTTTTATGTCAGCCTTCCAAGGTTTGTTGAAAGGTACAAGTGGCCCATTTCCCTGGCTGCTCCTCTGCATTCAAAAGCTTGTTACTGGAAGTGTACCCAACCTCACATGTCCTTACAATGAATGGAAGATCCACCTCTCCTAATTCCACTTGGTTAAAATGAAAACTATTTTATATGAAAATTTGAAATCTGCTAAACATAATGGGTGATCCTTACTTCCTCACAAGTGCCTTTGAAATTGTTATTTTCTAACTTAGTGTAAGGTTTTTTGTTTCTTTTCATGCTATCTTTTCCCTCGTGCCCATCCTTAATTTGAATTAATCTTTTGATTTTGAATCTAGGATTATTGTATACTTTTAACAACCAAATAATTTTTCATACTACATTATTCAACCGGGGGTGGAGGGAGTAAGGGGAAAACAGACAAGTTGTGATAGCTGCCCCCTACCTGGCTAAAAATTAATCTGCAAGTGTTGGGAGTTCTTGCCTGACAGGAGCTAGTGTTAATTGAGAGAATTGTGTCAGACCAGTTAGTCAGTCTCCACAATTGTTTGTCAAGAACCTAGGAGTAAGTGGTGTATTAAGGAAGGAGAGAGTGAATATAAACTGCAGGATTGTGTCTAGTTTCTTCATGTAGTGCCAAAGTAGGCATTCAGTATATCTGAAGAAGTGTACATGCACACGAAAGCTTATACCCAGAACAAACTTAGTTGGTCTCTAAGGTGCTACTGAACAATTTTTTAATTTATTTTGTATGCATCAGAATTCTCTAGTTCACAGTTCAGATAAGGAAAGTACAGGGTGATATGCATTGTTGAGAACCTGTATTGTATAGTGGTTAGAGTGTCAGACTAGGACCAGACAATCTAGTTTTCAAATCCTCTCTCATCCATGTAGCTCACTGGGTGACCGTTGGCCGGTTATACCCTCTCAGCTTAACCTACCTCACAAGGTTGTTGTGGGGGTTATATGAGGAGGGGGCAAACCATGTAAACCACTTGAGCTCCTTGGAGAAAATGCAGTAAATTAATAAATAATGTTAGTCATACTTGGATTAGATGCATTAAAGCCAATGGACTTAAGTGCATTGATTTCAGTGGGTCTGCTCTAAGTATGACTTAGTTTGATAAAACTCATAATACATGGATAACGGGCAAAATCTAAAAGAATGATTTTACATTTTAAAAGGACTGTCCCTAGAATTAGTGAACATTTTGTGGTTGATTAGAATTTTGGCTGTGAAAGGCCAACATTTTTTTCAAATACTACTTTGGAATCTGTCTGAAATGACACCTCTTGAAATCTAAATACTGTAGTAATTGGAATAAATAGGATGCTTTGGAACTTTGAAAGTCAATATTACTTTAAAAAATAGAATTGTCTTTGCATGTAAACATGTGATTGGTTTGTGGGTTTGTTTGTTTTTTGTTTGTTTGTTGGATCACTGAAAATGTTTCTTACTTAATGAGAGGTGGGGGTATGCTGGCTTTCCTATATCCTATTTCTGTCATTCCTTACACCCATTCTAATTATTCATTTAAGTAAACTGCTAGAGCTTTATTTTCTGAGCCCACTATAATTACTACTATAATGGTAGGACGGTAGAACTGTAGTCCAAAAAATAAATGGCACTATTTAAAAGCAATGCGGAATATGTAATGAGATACACAAACCAGGCACGCTAATTAGTCCACCTCTAATTAACTTGTTTTATGCCATCTATATCAGTTGTCCGTTTGTATCCTTTAGAGTAAATCTGATCAACCTAAATTTTATTATAAACAGATTTTTCCACCTAGGGCTTTGGACTAGGGATTTCTTTGAACTAAGTTGCGAACACGTTTCAGCCTATCAGTTAATCTGATAATTTAAAAAATATATCTTCAAGGCTTTTGGATAATATCTTGGCAGAAATGCAAGGAATAACTGAAGGACACATTCCAGATCTTAACTGGTTACTATACTTTTTTCCTCTTAGATGTGCAAGGTTTGTGACTTTCTCAGTTCCAAACATGAGTGTACCAACAATATAAGCAAAAGTGAATATTCAGGGTCATTCTATATATGGCTTCAACCAGCTGATGGGCTGTGGGATCTGGGATGATGGGAGCCATAGCTCCAGGAACATCCCTATCCTAGAACCTTAGCAGGAACCTTGCCTTAGGACTTCATGCACAAGCACACAACACAACTCTGTTGCGATTGCTTTGTAGAATTTGCAGTGTGCAGACAGGTCTGTACCCTGAGTTCCTAGACCCTGCTTGCATAATAGCTCATTTTTTATTGTGAAAGGTATCTTAATCCATAGTTTCAAAGTTATGGGGTTCCTTTCACACCCTGTTTATTTAGGAAAATGGAATAACTGCGATTGGACTAAACAACCCTTGGGGTTACTTCCAGCTCCACAGCTATGTAATTCTATGAATGAAGCATGTAAAGTGAGTACATTGAAGAGGGAGGAAATAGTTTCTGATGGGGAAGGTGGTTTCGTAAAGCTGTAACTCTACAGAACCACCACCTGGCTCATGAGTGGCCTCCATGGAGGACATTTGGGGCTTCAGAATACCCCTTTCTGAACAGCTGCAGCCCAAGGCTTTAATTAGGTTGGCTGGTGTAGGGTAAAGACTCCATGGAGCCACAATTTGATTTGCATGCAGTTTACATTGACTGTTTTGGGGAGCTAAGAACACCCCTTTGTGGACAGCAGCATGAGAGCCCCAAGTCTTTGTTTTATGAGTGTTCCCTATTCTCCACTTCGTCAGCATTTATAGTCAAAATAATGCAATTACTCATCATTAATAGAAACACTGCTTTCTGATAGTAGTGGGATCCCCCTGGTAACATTCAAAATTAGCTCTCAAGGGTCAGTTCCAGGGATTGGAAAGCACTTGCTGGATGCAGGCTGCAGCTGGATTTCATCTAACCTTCTGGATCTCCTCCTTTGGGCTGGCCCAAAACATTTTGCTGCTTAACATGAAGGACAAGATGGCACCTCCACTATTCCATGGAAAAAAGCCAACCCAACTGATGGCTGAATCTTACTTCAACACTGGCATTATGAAAAGTGAACCTGCAGACAGTGGGCTTCCTTCAGGCCACAGAGCAGGCTGTATGGCATAGAGAGCTACCGTATTTTTCGCACGATTGGACGCACCTAGTTTTTTTGGGGGGAAATAAAAAAATTTTCCCCTTTATTTCCCCCCAAAAGCAGGTCAGGGAAACCGAACCAGGTCGAGGAACAGCGGGATAGTGGCGCTGCGCCTCCCTGCTGTCCCCCAAGCTTGTGGGGCTGGCCGATGTCTGTCCGGCGGGCGGGGAGCTCTGCTTCAGGGCGCCCCACCCGCCAGGCAGCAGGCTGCTATCCGCAGCGTGGGGAGCCTTGTCGGGAACTCCTGCAAGCCTCCCCACTCTGCGGATGTCTGCCTGGCGCGAGGGGCGCTCTGCTTCAGGGCGCCCCACCCGCCAGGCAGCAGGCTGCTATCCGCAGCGTGGGGAGCCTTGTCGGGAACTCCTGCAAGCCTCCCCACTCTGCGGATGTCTGCCTGGCGCGAGGGGCGCTCTGCTTCAGGGCGCCCCACCCGCCAGGCAGCAGGCTGCTATCCGCAGCGTGGGGAGCCTTGTCGGGAACTCCTGCAAGCCTCCCCACTCTGCGGATGTCTGCCTGGCGCGAGGGGCGCTCTGCTTCAGGGCGCCCCACCCGCCAGGCAGCAGGCTGCTATCCGCAGCGTGGGGAGCCTTGTCGGGAACTCCTGCAAGCCTCCCCACTCTGCGGATGTCTGCCTGGCGCGAGGGGCGCTCTGCTTCAGGGCGCCCCACCCGCCAGGCAGCAGGCTGCTATCCGCAGCGTGGGGAGCCCTGTGGGGAATTCCTGCAAGGCTCCCCATG